CGCTTTGTGCTCGTCTCCGCGGCGGATTGGGCTAATTGCAGAATCTCTTTCTGCGAGGACAGGTTCGTTCAAGGGGGATAAAAAGAAGCACGGGGTCGTCCCAACGGGTCACCGTTCCCGGCGCGACGGTTTCTTCCTAATTATTACGCTCGCTCGTGTGATTTTAACCCTTTGAGTGCTGAACGCTCCTGGGCCCAAGTGCTCGTTGGAGACGAAATACCGTACGTTGGTGTGAACTCTGTTGATCGATTATACAGGCGACTAAGTTATAAATTAATTATTTTACGTCAAAATTTAAAACGTCTTCAATAATAAAATTTATTTTTTAAATATTAATAATTGCTGTAAGTGAGCTTTCGTAGGACGCGTTCATAGTACTCAAAGGGTTAATCGACGGACTGGCTTGTGCAACGCCCAGGGCATTGAAAGTTCGCGGTAAGCGGTCATCGGCGTCGCGACGCTGCACGGTGGGACAGATCCCATTCGTAGCGCGACCAAAATCATTAGATAATCAGAATTCTTACATACATGAAAATTTCGAGTATCTAATGAATGATAATTAAATTTTTATTGAAAGTTTAAAGTGATATTATGCAACTATAATTCAATTGGTGTTATGTTAATCCTTAGACGACCACGCGATTTATTGTTTCGTAAATAGATAGCCAAAGATAAACATATTTAAAGATACAATTCTTAATTTCGCTCGACTACTTCGCCTCTAGGGCAAATTATTTAATTGCGGTTGATTCAAGATATCTTGGAAACATGCCACCACAGCGTAAGATTAAAGAGATTACTAAGGCAGATTACCTAAAATGGCAAGTATTAATTCAATTCAGTCAATGAGTCATTAACGAAATAATGAGGGTCCCCTGATGGGCCCCGAGCGGTCATCCAAGGGTTAATGCGGTGTTTAAACGAATTCGTCGGTCCCCGGAGAAAGTCAACGTTGGAAATTTTTTGGTCTGAAAAACACAACAAATCTAACTGATCTCGAATGTGCGTAGAAATTCTTCTTAATTTAAACGCGAACGTTGACATAAATATCGAACAGTGAGTTGACATTATATGGCTGGATCCAAAAAGGTTAAATAAGACGATTAGATCCGAGGCTGTTCGGAATTTCCCAAGGCTCTCTCGAAACCACGTACGAAAGCGAGTTAATGGTCAGCAAGTTACTTGCCAGGTGCCATAATTGCAGATTCCTTAACAGAAATTAGCCGACTAACACGTTCAACCTCAATAATTACTATTTTTCTATCTAGTGTACGTGGAAAACCGTGAGAACGAATTTTTAGTTAAGAGGTTCCACTCGTTGGAGGTCGGAACATTGCAAAGATTATCATTTTTGTGGGAAAAACACATGTCGTAATTGAATTATTATTAAACCAGATTTTACTTCGTTCGAAGAACTCATTTTTAAGATTCGAATCGCTGGGAAAAATTTTTAGAAGCGTTCTATCGCGAACAGAGCCTTCCTCTAAGATGAAATTAATACTAAAATAACTTTCCCTCGTGACTTTTCAATTTATTTCCAATACACACTAAATAGTAAAATTGAAACATCGCTACTCTTCCACTTTCCCTGTTCAATCTCGTTTAGGACCTCCATTGCTTAACATATTCATTAACGATATTACTGACATGTTTGTTCATAGTGGATTTCTTCTCTACGCCGACGATCTGAAAGTCTTTCGTAACCCAGCATATTACGGCGATGCGCTCTTTCAACAAGATATATTATGCAGACTGAACGCACGATGTATCATTAGCAATCTTCAACTTAATCTCTCTAAGCACCGAGTTATCCTTTTTCCAAAAAAAATAGAGCAAGATAGTTCATCATAGTTACGTTCTGGATTCTACGTTTCTAATCGGTGTAAATCGTATAAGAGACCGCTCGGCGTTTCAATTGCAAATAGAGCAAGAGGAGAGCACTTAATCTTAAGCTAATATGGTAAAGGGAGCAATCGTAAACTCCTCACTTTGTGCAAAAAACTGCGTATCAAAGCATAGAAACATAATAAATAAATTTAATCAAGTTCTAAGGTTATCGTAGAATCGATTTTTTAATTCTAGAATGGCTACATCTCTTCTAAATTGTCTTAATATCGTTCCGAAATTTTGGCAGTATTTAAAAATTGCTTCTATACTACAGTATAATATATTCTATAATACCTCAATTAAAAATTACTAAATGAAATATCGACGAGTTGATCGTTCGGATGACAGTAATCGGGTGTTTTAACCTGGTACGACCTAATAACCTCCCGACGAACGGTTCGATTTTCCATTCCTGGACCGGCTCATGCACGATAATAACCATCGTGCAACGAATTTCCCTCGATCAAAACGCAAAAATTACTCGTCTTGTAGTAAAAACCGTGTACCGTACTTTTCGCCAGAGCGTCGTTCGCGTAACTTGTAGAGTCCTCGGCTTTGTTTGTCAACCGTTTCGAGAGAAATGCAAAATGAAGTCATACCGCGTCGTAACTGGTTTACAACGGGACGAAAGTAATTGCACCTGGGGATTTGCATTCTGCGGGTAACGAGCGACCGTTCCAAACGTCGCTCGCTTCCGTCGCAACGGCCATCAATTTTCCCATTCACGGTAGACACGCGAAGAATCTACAGGCCAGGGCGATCCCAATCTCTCGGTATCGGTGTTATCCTTCGATCTAATGCGCTCTAATTTGAATTCGAGGCGTACGGCGATTCACCGTGCAATACTTCTATTTGGCAAACGGAGTTTCGAAATTGGCGATGTTGGTCTGTCGTAAAAGTTTGTCTATCGTGCGACACATGCGAGGGATATTCTACAAATTTTGTACACGAATTAGGTAGGTCATGGTGAACGAGGATCGTCGTGTATAGTATAGGACAGGGTCGGTTCGTTAGGCAATTATAATGAAAATAAAACTGATCCTCCAGAAATCTACGAGCTCTCGGAAGAAAAGCCATGTTAGATCGTGGAATAAAATAACGTTGCGTTATGCGAAAATGCCTTCAATGCCAAGTTTGTTGGCACAATCGGGGCTATTACGAAGTCAAAACACTGTCTCTATCGGTCGATCTATGTTAATTCGAGATCCAGCTTCGAAACTGGTATGTTTCAGCGAGAAAAATTCCAGCCAGATGTTATCTCGTTTCGAGTAAGTAATAAACATTCCTGGCAACCAGTTCATTCACAAGGCGGTCGTGTGTTTGAGATAATGTACGAGGAGTTGCGTAAAGGGCGACGGAAATTTCTCATGACAGAAACGGTTGCTCGGTGGATCCGAAAGTGTCTCTCGCGAATGGATGAAAAAATAGAAAGAAATTGAACTATAAACCGCACGCGACGGTCGATGCTACTCGACCCAGAACGGCTTGAAGCGTCGGTTGGTGACAGAACTGGATGCATTCTGATGGAAGCTTGCGGGTTATCGGTGCTATTATCGATTTCACGGTACGTTCGGATTCGAAACGTCGAGCAGCGGTCAATTTGTCTAATTTAAATAAAGAGGAAACCTCGGTCTCCCGCGAGCGGACTTCTATTTCGTCGTTTCGACTCTACAGGACGTCCAACGTTGGATAAGGATCACGTTTTCCACGATAAAATCATACGCAATAAAATAATAAAGTATCTAATTAAATGGCAAACGATATTTAAACAATATTAAAACCACACGAACTTTCTGTCGACGTTGACTAACTTCGATTGATGGACTTTTCTAAACACCAGAAAATATTTTGGAAATGCAATGACCCGATAACCGTTACGATGGCTTTTGCCAAATTTTCCAGCGCTTCTTGGACACCACGTTATTTACGAGTCGTGTTTTTATTAAACGCGTCGCTCGTATCGCAGAGTAAATCGACCAATTGGAGCAAGTTAATACTTCCTGTCGCGAAGGACGTCCTTTTGAAAGGGATCGTCTGTCTCTCTTACCTCGAGCACCGACGACGCAGCTTCCGAGAGGAACGTTTTTGCCCCGTGCCAGTGATTTTTTCGTTCCTCTCTATTTTCGCGGTATTTTTTTGCGCCCAAAGACCGAGCTACTCGAAACGGGTCGTCGAAGAAGAGACATTTGCTCCAGTTGTACACGGAGCACTCGAAGAACGGATTCGGAGTTCAGAGAGCGTGGAATATTCCAACTAACAAGGAATGTCATTCGGATTTTAGAAAACTTTGCACACCTTTGCACAGCCTTTCTATTTTCGTCTGTTCATTAACATCAAATATTGTTTACAAGATAGTCTTTTTAACGTCCTCTAACTGATTAATCTAGGAATGACAATGCATCGTAAGTTTAACGTTCAAAGATACGAAAATTGAAGAAAGAAATTTAGATAATATTAGTGCAAACCAGAAACAAGTAGTAACTGATAGTTTTGCAAAGCTAGTATCCCAGCATCGAGGGCACAGCCGAAAAGGCCTCGCTGTTAATATAAATAACGTAGGTATTACTGTAGGTGGAGAATAAGGAAATACTGTAAACGAGACCCCAGCGCGAAATTGCTTTCTCACGCGATCTCGAAGCGGGTCTCGTTGGCCGATCAATCGCCATAATTGGGTCAAACGAAACCGATCGACAGCGTGATCGCACGAGTGAACTACTTTCGCTGGAAAATTCACTTTTCCCCCCTCCGACTGGGAGACATCAACGCGTGTGATATCGCGTCGTCCATCGTCTCTTATTACCGATAGTAACTAGATACTTTGCGTTCAGAAACGGCCGCTGTCCAGACGGTAGACACTACTGTTCGCTTCCGGCGAAAGAATGACACACGAGACGATGCCGGCGTCGCATTTACTTGGTCGACGAGGGCGTCCAACCGGGTCGTTTAGAGGCGAGCCTATCTGAAGAGACTGTTCGAATGCCCCCAACCCGATACTTGCGTTTCAACGACTCAACTGGTGAGTAACGGACTCCGAAACTATGCTTTACGGACTTCGAGCCAGCCTCGATCAGGGATTTATTCGGGTTTCAAGTGATCAAGATACCCAAACTGAAATGAACGGCGCGAGGATCTGGCAGCTGGTCTTGGTGCTGATCGTATTTTCTTCTTCGAGGGTATTCTCGGTGTGCAACGTGTGCCCGCGAATAGAAAAGTGAGTATCGTTGTAATTCAGGCGAGAATTCGAGTACGTAATTTAACGAATACGATAGATCTCGGTACGTTCCGCGTAATAACAGAAGTATGGTCATCCAACAGAATCCTCTTCTATCGGTTCGCGTGGACTGTTGAGAAATTTGTGTGTCCAGAAATGGAGGGTGTCTTTTTTTTTTAGTAGATCGAGGAGTCGAAATGTTTCGTGCCCGCGGAATGACTAGACAAAATTTTACGGTGTATGGATCGGTATGCATTGGCGGACGAGCCTTGACAATAACCCACACCGTTCATTACGCGGTCACCCCGTCCTGCAACATACCGACGCCGTCCCGATAAGGGTATCGGCCGCGAGAAACGGATAAGTTAATTGATCAAACGTTTGCAGTTACACGGTCACCTCGATGGAAACGTACACCGAGCCGGTTACCGTGAATACGTTCACCTGGTGCCTACAGTTCCCGCCCAGGTGTTTGAAGACGTGGACCGAGACGAAGAAACGATATCGCATGAAGGTGAGTACGATCGATAGTCCAAGCTTCGAATAGAACTCGCTGCTGCGTGGCCATCCTAACTGGGACAGTTTTTCTAAAACCTTCTCCCTAAGATTGGCTTAAGTATTCTGGTCGAGTCGACCGATTTTCGAATCGAACGGAAGATGCAACTCGGGTCGAGGAAAGTGAAACGCAAAAAGTCGACGCGTTTGACCTCGGGTTTCGCAATTCCTCATCTCCTCGGGTCGAAAGAGCCTTTCCTGCGACGCAGAACGAAAGGGAAACGAGCAGGATGGACACACGGGCTCGCAATATAAATCCACCGATGCCTGTGTATTTATTATAATACACAGTATTTATTATAATATACAAAAATTTGTATATTATAAAAATTTATTATAATATACAAAAATACGTGTTGTTGGAAACGGCCGCGACATAATCAAACTAACGCGTTGAGACATTTAAAAGGCCTCATGAATCATAAAGGCGTTAATATCTTTTAATAAGACACCGAATTGGCTAACACGCCGCGCCAACGACCAACCAGGAAATAATTAAATAAATCTCGTGGGTCGGCGCTGACACGAAATTAACAACGTTTCTACGTAATGGCGTCGGGAACAATATTTTACTGCGATACGAGCCTGTATAAATCTCACGATACATTTCCTAACGTGTTGTGCGGAAAACTGGCTGCGAATATGGGTTAGTAAAGAACTTGTTCCGATCGTCCATTACTCTGCCAATTGAAATTCTGCCGTGGTGGCCACTAGTGACCAGCATTGTAAACAAACAGGTTGCCAACGCAAGATTTACGGGAACCTATCAATTTGACGCGTTTCAGAACCCATAAATATTATTTATTAGCAATTTATGCTATGGTATTAACGTGTATCTTAATTAAGAAAGAATTTTTAAACTACCCTTATACTTAAATAAGACAAACTTCTATGTTTCATCGAAACACTGCCGTGTTTTTTCGTTAGAAAATAAAAATTGTAATATACGTTTTCTCTGTCAAGAACTCGCGGACGAGAAACTCCGGTTCCGAATTACGCAACGGTTGATTAACGATCGGAAGAAAGTTCCTGTAGCAGTCAGCGTTCGTTAATTAACAAATGATATAATTTTCCTCTTTTGTCGCGGAAAGTAGCCGCGGCCATTGAAATAATTAGCTCGAACGGTCGGGGCGCGTACCACGTCCGACATAATTAAGAAAGTTAAACGTCCGCGAGGCGGAACGATTCGATACATTTTGTAACCGGTAATACGCGTTCTGCTGTAAACAAAAAAAAAAACAAAACGCCGTAGCCGGCGTGCGATTGTCCGCGAGATTCCATCGCGGAAAACGCGCCAACGTCGCCCCCACGATCTATGATTAATTTATGCGATACGCGCGAACACCGTCCGATTAATTGCCATCCGGGCAAGATAAATCAATTAGGCCGAGATTCTTGTGCCGTTTAACGATTTATCTCGCCGATCTTACGGGGGTCCCGTCGCACGATTTCGGTAGCTAATAGCTTCGATCGAGGCTCGTTCTTACGCTCTTACGTAATTCGCACGATCTCCATCGACGCGTGGTGCAAGGTATTACCACCGGAAGAAAGCGAGCACGGTGTTCGATGCAAATGCGATCGAACTGGAGCAAACATGGCGTTCCCGTATCTAAACAGTAAAAGCAGTTTCACCGCCGAACCACCAGATGCTTTGTACCGTTTCGAACCGACGCGATTTCACGGATGGTAATGGGATAAAATGAACAAACCTGGCGATCAAATCTCTTTTTACACGGTCTCGATTTAACACGGTCTAAAAAAGAGCTAATTATGGCTTTTTGCGAGAATTTTCTGCTTCGAGAAGGCTCGTCGCGCTAACGATCTGGAAAGATGAGTGTGTTTCGAAATTTTTTTAAGACCTTATTTCTACAAGTTTGCGGAATATTTATCATTTTTCGTTCTTTAACTGTTTCGAAGCAGACTACGCAGAGAAAGTAAAAGTTCCCTGATTATACAAAAATGGGTGGAATCAAAATTTCGCAACTATTCCCTTAGAACAACTAACTGTTATATCGAAACCAATAAAAAATTGTACGTTTCATCGAACCCTTGGTATCGAGTACAGCTCGAAAAAACGTTTCCTTCTCTAAATCGTTCCCTTTTACTTTTTGCCCGGATTTTCAAACTCGCGGAACAAATATATTATTTTGTCATAAGCAATAAATCGTTTTTTACGCGGAGCTCGTTAGAACGTGTCTGACGTATAAAAAGCGAATTGAGTGCATATGCCAATAAGACATTTGAAGAAACAGGGTGTGGGATATACTTTCAAAAATTCTTACGTCGCTGCTACGCGTATGGTCGATCATTGAGTAATCTAGGAATTTATTCCCGTAATGAGACTGCTTCCGAGAAAAATTGCCAAACGCCTGGACAAATTGCAACCTTGCGATGATTATTAACGCGTATCAGACCCCCGTATCGCATTCTGCGCGTGTTTACATGAGAACGATCGCGATGTTCGCGATATCAAATTGCCGGAAGAGAAAAGAGGTCTCGCCTAAACGCGCCGTTTCGCAATCGGGGCTGCTTTATTAACGCAATAACGGTCTGGAATGGAAAATCGCGTATCGTCGGAGAGAAAACGCGGCACGCACCTACGAAGACTCGCGCAAAACGGATTCCGTGCGTGGGCGTACGAACCTCTTTACGCGTCCTACGATCAATACCGAACAGTTGACCAGATTTTTAGGTAATTGAATAAAGTATAGAACAAGCTCAGCCTATCAGAGCGCAACATACTTTTATCAGCTCATCAAATTGCAATCTATTTATGATCTAATGGATCTAAATTCCTTCTCCCGTTGCAATCCATATTTGGAACGTCGTGGACGTTCTTAGAATCTTCCGAGGAGCAGAAACGTGTACAGGGAACACCCAGGTACGCGTTACACCGACAATGAGACCATATTCTTATGAGAAACGACGGCAGTTCCAACGGTAGCATCGAACGCTCGCCATATATCGTTGCCCAAGTCTCTCACGGCTTGAGCGGGTTTAATATTTATTGCGTAGGAACATCACGGCGTATTTCGCTCCGGATTACGCGTAGCCGTTGCATAACGTCATCGTAACGCGGAAAATCGACTTTCGAATGGATCCCGGATTCGCAAGAATTCCGTGAATCGAAAAATCCGAGCGCACAGCCCACAAAACTGACCCGGAAAGCCTCTCTCTTCGACGTTCCGATTCTTAACACTCATAGAACCGAATTTAGACGAGACTACAAAATTAAATACCCACCATAAATAATATTGCAAGTCTCGATATCGATTCTATTTCATTCTGCATGTATTATACCCGTATAATAAATAAATAAATATTGAAAACAGTTGGAGAGCGAAATGTTAATCTCGTAGAAAACTTCACGGATTTGGTCTACCGGTCAACGTGTTAAAATATGCAATTAGCATATGTTTGTCGATTGGTCGGTTCCGCTCGACCATCGTGGATTTCGTCAGGCGTTGCAACGACGCTTCGCGTATCGACGTCGCGTTGCGCAGGAGTAGGATGCAACTGATAACGTAATACCGACGCCGACGAACGAGGATCGACGCTCTATGGCTGATGGCATTGTAAACGTCGAGCCATTGACAGAGAAGGAAGATGATTATCGTATACTCAGGGAAGTCAACGAGCGCCTAGACACCGCGACCAAAATTCCCGCTTATTAAGTACAATTTCAACCACCGAAATTGGCCACCACTGAATCACGATTGGCTTATTTAAACACTAACGTCTAATTTTGCAAAATATTCCAAGAATCCCGTAAATTTGTTAGGAAAGAGAAGAAAGACACGAGAATTCGAACCCACGTTCTTCGAATTGCCAGCCACCGTTGCTAATACCGCTGGTATTCCGTTGTTATAGATTCCTTTTCTACGGGCATGGATGATCTCCGATCCAACAATAGTTATACAGAATCATTGAATTTTTCAACAAATATCACAACGGTTCGGTAAAAATCACTGTGCATTCGCTGTGGAGGATTGATAAAATTTATGGGAAACAATTTAAGCACTCGGTTATACAGCAGTATTATCTGGAGACTATAAATTCCACAGACAATGTAACGAAATTCATTCCGTGCAGAATTAATCAGCCCCTAGACAATTCTCGCAAGTTTTGTTATGCAAATCACTTCATACTGCGTCGAAAGCGAGAGTTATTGGACACGCTGAAGACTCCTACAGCAATCTAGGACGAAACGCACTTTTTTGGGAACCACCTGTTTCCATTAACCCTAGAGCACCGACGTGAAAAAAGTTGAGTGAACTCTAACGTTGGTAATATGCATCCAACGCTTTTTCAGATCGTTGTAATGTTCTTCAAATATCACGGATTTAACTTGGCAGAGTTCGTTCTTTCCCCTGGATCTTACAGATTACAATTACACACGACAAAAAAACATTTCAGAGAAATTAAAAATTAAAAGAATTATAAAAGTATAAAAATCGAACGATACTCTACGTGGTCCACTGAAAATCGTACTTTATCGAGATAACCTGTGGGAAGCCAAAGTTGGAGAAACACTGGAACGCGATATATCACAATCTTATGAAAGAATTTATATGTTTCGTGTAGCAGTTAGGACAACGACAACGATGTAGACCGTGGCACGGTGAGAAAGTCGTCGCATTTTGCTCGATAGTCAACGTGTTAAATAAGAAACTCCTGCAGTCGTAAACGCACCACTGCAGTCACGATACACTACGATATCGCCTAATTCCTGGGGAGCACGCTGAGCGATCACGTGCAGAAAGCGCTATCGAGGCTGTTTTCCGTGTTCTTCGGGCCGATCACGTACGCGTTGATCGCATAATCGACCGAGAAATGGTAATCGAGAAATTGACAGTGAGAGAAAATAGGCTCGGTACGGTGACTGAATAATCATCACTGATGAGAATGGCAATTGGCGAACTATGGGAAGCGATTTCAATCACGCTTTGTACGCGGAGG